TCTCTGCTCTTCGCCCCGGCTCTGCCAGCGATGCTCCCCGTGCCCTTGGTGCCGCCTGTTTTCATGTCAGACCGAGGTTTTTGCGAAGTTAACTCCTGTGCAGCGGCGCCTTTGTGGGGAGCGCAACGGGGTGCTGTCCTCAGAGCCTTTCCCTTCCGCGGCCAAGAGCCGCTTCTGTGCGGCGCGGTCCCGGCGTGCCCTCTGCGTCAGCAGAGAGAGGCGTCCCGTGCTCCTTGCCTGCCCCAGCAGTGTGGTGGTGCTGGCACAGAGGTCTGCGCTGCTGCCTGCTTCCCGTTCCCTCGGAAGGAATGGGATCTTCGGGCCGTTAGGAAAGGCGTTGCTGGGAAGGTTGTTACCTTTGATACCGAAGTGTAACGGTGCGGAAGGGCTTGGGGCTGTTTGTACACACCAGGATTTCTTGGCTGAAGGTGGGATGCGACCTTTGTGCAAAGGATGCTGAGGCACGAGGCGGGTGGTCTGTGAGCTCCAGCGTGAGGGGGACGCTGCTGCACAGCCGGAGCCCATCGGGAGGGCTGAGCCGGCACCGGGGCTTCGGGGGTCTTATTCTGCAAGAGCCTGTTTCGCCTGAAATCCCTAACTCCTCCTGTTTCCCGCCTCTGTCTTCGTTTGCTAATGAAGCTGTTGCTGCATCCCTGCCCTACGTCTGCCCTTTCTTCCTGAGCCAGGTCCCCAGTGATGCTGGTTGCCTTGGGTTGTGGCATAGCTTTATTTTTTTTTTACAATTTTATGGTTAAAAACAATTGAGGTCTGTCAAAAGTGTTTTCCTACTGGTTTTATATTTTAAAATGTGCAATTTTTTTCCCTGCTTTGAGTGTCTTATTTCTTTAAAAATCCTTTTGACACCAGACCTCGGAAGGGGGAGGGTAAGCTGCCGTCTGTCGCGTCTCACCTAACAGCTGGCGCTGGGGAAAATTTACCATTTGATAGGACAGGAAGATTAACAGAAAGGTAGGCGCAGTAGATTTAGGATTTAGGCAGGATTAAGACAACTCAGGTACCTGCTGATAGCTGATATTTCGACAGCAGTGCATCCGTGCTGGAAAATGCTGCCCCTTCCGTGCCAGCTGTGAGCGCAGATCAGAGCAGCCCAGAAATGAAAATCCGGGTTTGGGCACCTTCACGACGTGCTTGGGTGGGTGACGAGGAAAGACCTTGCTTCCTGCTTCCGACCTGCAGCCATGCACGTGGGGCTCGAGCACTTGCTGGAGCGGGGGGTTGTGCCAGCCCGGCTCTTCGC